ACTTTGGAGAAGGACATCTCTGTTCAAAGTACTATGTGTGAGGGCGCTTGTTATTACTACCAACCTATTGTAAAATGAATTTCCCGAGCTGGACTTCTGAACAGTCGTAGAAAAAGGAGTCAACATGAGAATGAAGAGTTTCTGTTTCTACTAAATCCATTTGTCATATGGAATCATCTTTGACAGTTACGCCATCTCTTATCTCATCAAAGGTATCTCACAAGGTATGACATTGGGTTTAATCGCACTGTCTGACAGAGAAACGACATAGAAAAGCCACATTACTACTACAGTGAGAATGAAAACACTGTGTGTTTGTGTATTCGTATGCATGGCGCATGCTTCCCAAGATACAACCTTAGAGCAAGCTCTCCAGGCATCCAGGAATGAGGCGCTGATAAATTACCCTCGGAATATAGCAACATACGGGATCCTAAAGCCGGATCTCCATTTCACGCCGTTATCTCTATCTGGTCTTGATGAACTGACTCAGACATTCTCCTTCACTGCAATGTTTACCTTCACGTGGCAGGATCCTAATTTGAGACTGAACATTAACCTGAGTGAGTATAACCACACAGATGATCATCCATTGGTTTCCTACTCGTCAGGGGAGATTCTCACGCCGATATTTGTCATCATGAATAGTGCATTTGGAAATGTATTTCAGCAAATGGATAAAGACTTACCAATATTTTCTGATGTGGATGGGAATATAAAAATGTATAACATTCTAGGATTACGGACACTCTGTGATGTAGATGTAACGCACTTCCCTTTTGATGAACAAATATGCAAAGTCCATTTGCAGAGTTACGTCGGGGTCTTTAACACATCAACTATACATATGAGAATGCTCGAAATTTCTGAAAAGGATCATAGTGAATGGTTAGTCATGAATGTAACTTCGTCAGGTGATAAGGCGTTCGGTAATATTATAACGTTTCATCTGAAACGCCAGTCTTCTTTCTACATACTGGGAATCGTGTTCCCTATGGTTCTTCTGTCCATCCTCAATTCCTTCGTGTTCTTGCTCCCAGCGGACTCCGGGGAGAAGATATCCTTTCTGGTGTCCATCTTTGTCACCTACGCTGTGTTTCTGAATTTTGTAAGTGATCTCATCCCAAAGTCAGACAGACTGCCTCGACTTGTTGTGTATCTTGTTCTTGTTCAGTGCCACAGTACCTTGTGTATCCTAGCAACACTATTCATCCTCAATAGGCATCACAAAAAGACAATGATGATGCCAAGGAAAAGGCTAGAAGGAACAGGAACCAGGATGAAAACCAATACGCCAATGAAGATATGCACCAGGAACACTGCCAATCTAACACGGTGAAAAACATTCCCGTTCATAGCCGAATAACACAAGCCCTGTCCTTCAAGACTGTTGAAAGAAGCCTTTTCTTTGCGTTTCTGGTACTTGCAGCTGCCACCCTGCTCGTATTGTTTGTGTAAATGTTGAAGATGTAAACGAACACAAGGCTTCATAAAAGTTTAAGTTTGGATATTCAGCGGAACGTTTAAAATGGTAGCGATGTTCAGATACTCATTGAATCAACAGACCTGCACTCTCTACCATGTCTGATGAGAATTACGTTAGCACTAAACAAACTAACAGCATCGGTAACAATATACTTTTTGCATGGATACTATATAAATGTACATGTTGTGACATATAGTTTATTGACTTATGTTACTGAATCTTTGAATAGTTTGATTCACGCAAGTGGACAGTGTGTTACTAAATGTTTTACTATTCATGGTTCACACAAGGAGACAGTGTGTTACTAAATATTTTACTATCAATGGTTCACACAAGGGGACAGTGTGTTACTAAATGTTTTATTATTCATGGTTCACACAAGGGGACAGTGTGTTACTAAATGTTTTATTATCCATGGTTCACTCAAGGGGACAGTGTGTTACTAAATACTTTACTGTTCATGGTTCACACAAGGAGACAGTGTGTTACTAAATATTTTACTATCAATGGTTCACACAAGGGGACAGTGTGTTACTAAATATTTTACTATCAATGGTTCACTCAAGGGGACAGTGTGTTACTAAATACTTTACTGTTCATGGTTCACACAAGGAGACAGTGTGTTACTAAATGTTTTATTATCCATGGTTCACTCAAGGGGACAGTGTGTTACTAAATACTTTACTGTTCATGGTTCACACAAGGAGACAGTGTGTTACTAAATGTTTTACTATCAATGGTTCACTCAAGGGGACAGTGTGTTACTAAATACTTTACTGTTCATGGTTCACACAAGGAGACAGTGTGTTACTAAATGTTTTATTATCCATGGTTCACTCAAGGGGACAGTGTGTTACTAAATGTTTTATTATCCATAGTTCACTCAAGGGGACAGTGTGTTACTAAATGTTTTATTATTCATGGTTCACTCAAGGGGACAGTGTGTTACTAAATACTTTACTGTTCATGGTTCACTCAAGGGGACAGTGTGTTACTAAATGTTTTATTATCCATGGTTCACTCAAGGAGACAGTGTGTTACTAAATACTTTACTGTTCATGGTTCACACAAGGAGACAGTGTGTTACTAAATGTTTTACTATCAATGGTTCACACAAGGAGACAGTGTGTTACTAAATGTTTTACTATCAATGGTTCACACAAGGGGACAGTGTGTTACTAAATGTTTTATTATTCATGGTTCACACAAGGGGACAGTGTGTTACTAAATGTTTTATTATCCATGGTTCACTCAAGGGGACAGTGTGTTACTAAATACTTTACTGTTCATGGTTCACACAAGGAGACAGTGTGTTACTAAATGTTTTACTATCAATGGTTCACACACGGAGACAGTGTGTTACTAAATGTTTTACTATCAATGGTTCACACAAGGAGACAGTGTGTTACTAAATGTTTTATTATCCATGGTTCACTCAAGTGGACAGTGTGTTACTAAATACTTTACTGTTCATGGTTCACACAAGGGGACAGTGTGTTACTAAATATTTTACTATCAATGGTTCACACAAGGGGACAGTGTGTTACTAAATGTTTTATTATTCATGGTTCACTCAAGGGGACAGTGTGTTACTAAATATTTTAATATCCATGGTTCACACAAGGGGACAGTGTGTTACTAAATATGTTAATATCCATGGTTCACTCAATGGGACAGTGTGTTACTAAATATTTTGATATTCATGGTTCACAGAAGGGGACAGTGTGTTACCAAATATTTTGATATTCATGGTTCACAGAAGTGGACAGTGTGTTACTAAATATTTTGATATTCATGGTTCACAGAAGTGGACAGTGTGTTACTAAATATTTTGATATTCATGGTTCACAAAAGTGGACAGTGTGTTTCTAAATATTTTACTGTTCATGGTTTGATATTCTCCCCTTTACATACCAAACAGTTTTCTGCTGCGGTGTGTCTGGATTAACAAGGATTAACTGTTTGCCATGACGTTTTCTAAAGAATTTTGATTTTCCTTAAGCTGTGCACATTATGACTGATGGACTATTTTTTAATAAACAATTTCAAAACTGAACATTTTGGTATCCTTTTCGAAGTTAATGAAAAACACTCATCATCAATGTGTAATTAGGGGAATCATTGCCTGATCAATATGAAATTGGAGTTACAAGGCCACCGAAGAATGTTAATTTATTCACTTAAATATACCAGGACAGCAATTTCCCCAGATCTCGGTTTTTCACGAGATGGGAGATACTCGGGTGAATTGCTGAATTGCAGGAGGACTGAGCAATTGTACATCGTGCACGTGTTAGGTTACGTGTCATGGGAATACAGACAATGACATTTAAGTCATGCAATTAGTGCCGATGGTATATGAGACCAACCATCATTGGCCAGATACAATACAATAACCTGTATTGACGAAGGTTTCCTGCCATATCTCTATTGTTGAAGACTGATGCTGCATCAGAGGGAGGTAGCTGATTGTGAAAGCATCCCTGTGGAGGAAGGAGGCGATTACATTGAGGATCATTAGAGACTTGAAGACTTTGGAGAAGGACATCTCTGTTCACGGTCTTGTGTGTGAGGGCGCTTGTTATTACTACCAACCTATTGTAAAATGGAATTTTTCTGAACAGTCGTAGAAAAAGGAGTCAACATGAGAATGAAGAGTTTCTGTTTCTACTAAATCCATTTGTCATATGGAATCATCTTTGACAGTTACGCCATCACTTATCTCATCAAAGGAATCTCACAAGGTATGACATTGGGTTTAATCGCACTGTCTGACAGAGAAACGACATAGAAAAGCCACATTACTACTACAGTGAGAATGAAAACACTGTGTGTTTGTGTATTCGTATGCATGGCGCATGCTTCCCAAGATACAACCTTAGAGCAAGCTCTCCAGGCATCCAGGAATGAGGCGCTGATAAATTACCCTCGGAATATAGCAACATACGGGGTCCTAAAGCCGGATCTCCATTTCACGCCGTTATCTCTATCTGGTCTTGATGAACTGACTCAGACATTCTCCTTCACTGCAATGTTTACCTTCACGTGGCAGGATCCTAATTTGAGACTGAACATTAACCTGAGTGAGTATAACCACACAGATGATCATCCATTGGTTTCCTACTCGTCAGGGGAGATTCTCACGCCGATATTTGTCATCATGAATAGTGCATTTGGAAATGTATTTCAGCAAATGGATAAAGACTTACCAATATTTTCTGATGTGGATGGGAATATAAAAATGTATAACATTCTAGGATTACGGACACTCTGTGATGTAGATGTAACGCACTTCCCTTTTGATGAACAAATATGCAAAGTCCATTTGCAGAGTTACGTCGGGGTCTTTAACACATCAACTATACATATGACAATGTTCGAAAGTTCAGAAAAGGATCATAGTGAATGGTTAGTCATGAATGTAACTTCGTCTAGTGCTAAGGCGTTCGGTAATATTATAACGTTTCATCTGAAACGCCAGTCTTCTTTCTACATACTGGGAATTGTGTTCCCTATGGTTCTTCTGTCCATCCTCAATTCCTTCGTGTTCTTGCTCCCAGCGGACTCCGGGGAGAAGATATCCTTTCTGGTGTCCATCTTTGTCACCTACGCTGTGTTTCTGAATTTTGTAAGTGATCTCATCCCAAAGTCAGACAGACTGCCTCGACTTGTTGTGTATCTTGTTCTCGTCCAGTGCCACAGTACCTTGTGTATCCTAGCAACACTATTCATCCTCAATAGGCATCACAAAAAAGACAATGATGATGCCAAGGAAAAGGCTAGAAGGAACAGGAACCAGGATGAAAACCAATACGCCAATGAAGATATGCACCAGGAACACTGCCAATCCAACACGGGGAAAAACATTTCCGTTCATAGCCGAATAACACCAGCCCTGTCCTTCAAGACTGTTGAAAGAAGCCTTTTCTTTGCGTTTCTGGTACTTGCAGCTGCCACCCTGCTCGTATTGTTTGTGTAAATGTTGAAGATGTAAACGAACACAAGGCTTCATAAAAGTTTAAGTTTGGATATTCAGCGGAATGTTTAAAATGGTAGCGATGTTCAGATACTCATTGAATCAACAGACCTGCACTCTCTACCATGTCTGATGAGAATTACGTTAGCACTAAACAAACTAACAGCATCGGTAACAATATACTTTTTGCATGGATACTATATAAATGTACATGTTGTGACATATAGTTTATTGACTTTATGTTACTGAATCTTTGAATAGTTTGATTCACGAAAGTGGACAGTGTGTTACTAAATATTTTACTGTTCATGGTTCACAATAGTGGACAGTGTGTTACTAAATATTTTACTGTTCATGGTTCACTCAAGGGGACAGTGTGTTACTAAATATTTTAATATCCATGGTTCACTCAAGGGGACAGTGTGTTACTAAATATGTTAATATCCATGGTTCACTCAAGGGGACAGTGTGTTACTAAATATGTTAATATCCATGGTTCACTCAATGGGACAGTGTGTTACTAAATATTTTGATATTCATGGTTCACAGAAGGGGACTGTGTGTTACCAAATATTTTGATATTCATGGTTCACAGAAGTGGACAGTGTGTTACTAAATATTTTGATATTCATGGTTCACACAAGGGGACAGTGTGTTACTAAATGTTTTACTATTCATGGTTCACACAAGGGGACAATGTGTTACTAAATATTTTGATATTCATTTTTCACACAAGGGGACAGTGTGTTACTAAATGTTTTGATATTCATGGTTCACTCAAGGGGACAGTGAGTTACTAAATATTTTGATATTCATTGTTCACTCAAGGGGACAGTGTGTTACTAAATGTTTTACTATTCATGGTTCACACAAGGGGACAGTGTGTTACTTAATATTTTGATATTCATGGTTCACTCAAGGGGACAGTGTGTTACTAAATATTTTAATTTCATGGTTCACTCAAGGGGACAGTGTGTTACTAAATGTTTTACTATTCATGCTTCACAGAAGTGGACAATGTGTTACTAAATGTTTTAATATTTTGATTCTCAAAGTAGAAAATGTGTTTTGATATTCATGGATCACACAATATTCTAAAAATACTTACTCAAGTGAACAATGTAACTCAAAATGTCCTAAATTTCAAATTACTAAAAACAATCTGTTACTAAATGTGTTAATATTTTGATACTCTTGAGAAAATAATGTGTCACTAAGGTTTTCACAGTAAGACACATTCATACAACTGGACAGTGTGTCAATAAATGTTCTCATGCTCTGATTCAGTAAGTGAACAATGTATTTCTAACCATTCCAGTCTTCTAATTCACACACAAGTAGGCAATGAGTCAAAATGCTTTCACCAGGAATTTCCTATGAATATGGAAATGTTTTGCCGCTTATTTGAAAAAAGTTCCAGTATTCAGATTCATACAGGTGGTTAATATTATAATAATAATATTATGTATTATAATATTCGGATTCACAAGTCGACAATCGGTTTCTAAATGTTTAAATATTCTTAATAAATCAATCTTACACTTGAAAAAGCATCACTCTTTGAGATTACCGATTTACTGGAATAAGTATGGAATCCCAGAAAGGATATTGTCGCGTTGTCGCCCTTACACAAATAAGCAAGAAATGTCCAATATGATCCATGTGCGACATTGTGAATGCGATAACATGTGTTATTATCAAAACAGCGATAATTCGACAACCGAACATTTTTCAGTGTTAAAACACGCCAGAACGTGACCCCGCAACATACTGCTAATGTTGCATTGTCTCATTGTCGCCTCCTCATGAAATCAAAAATATTATTGAAACAAATGTCGCGGCCAAAATGTCGCATTTTCGCGGTTTGTTTCATCTTGACATTTATTGCATGTTTATGCAAGGGCGACAACTCGACGGTCAAAAACGCGACAGAGCGACCATGGCAGTTCTGCACTAAGCTGTTTTTTTGTTTACGATGCGTTGAACCGGATTTAAGTTATACCACGTCGTGTCAGCTTGATGAGAGGAATGTTTGAAGTGATGCAGGTTTAAAACATTTCATTTGGTGAAATGTACTGTTACGAAGATGGTGCTGACCCAGAAACGTGAACCTGGGTTCGAACAAGAGAGGCTTCTGGCATGACAAGGGACATAACTCTGAAAGGCTATAGATGCACTTCATTCGTGACCGACTCGTGTTATTCCGGGACAAGCCGAATAGCGGTTACGGAAAGAGCGAGTGGTGACAAATGAGATGCACTTGAGAACCGTGCCCTATGTTTGTAAGGTATCGTATAGATAGTGGACCCACCTGAATACAATTTCCATTAGAAGCTTGTAGGTGTATTTCTGTCAGTTTATTAAAGTAGTAGTTCAATCTACAGTAAACACTTTCCATCCATACTTTAGTGAACACAAAATAAGGCACGTCAATGGCTGTACTTAAACCCACGTCTCTCAGCATCACTTCATGACAAAGTAACAGACATCAACAGATACAGACAGTTTAATTTATGTTAATGTTTTGTTTATGAATGTTAGTCGCCAATCAACACACTGTGTCATCTAATTTTAGTAAACCTGTCGATCAAGTTGTCTGACGAGTGTCTACAAACATACACAAAGTGTTTGAAGTTTAACGCCACACTCGTCAATACAGACCCGTGAAGATCCGGGTTAGAATTGACCTTCAGCACCCCATGCGACTAACGGGATCATGTGGTCAGGCTGGCTGACGTGGTTGACACATGTCATCGTAATAGCTGGAATATTGCTGAGTGCCGCGCAAAACTATACTCACTCACTCACTCATCAATACACCCTACGAGGGGCGTATGGAAATAATCGACTCTTGGTCAGACAATCCAGTGACTGAAATCATGAGTGAAGTTGAAGATATCAAGTTAAAATGCTAAGGACAATTTCGACAAATCCGTGTGAACATTATCTGGCATGTCATAAGCTGACATATATTGTATTTTCCTCGTGCTATATATCTATCCGTCCGTCTTTTTGTCTGTCTGTCTGTCTGTCTGTCTGTCTGTCTGTCTGTCTGTCTGTCTGTGTGACACATGAAGTATAAGTATCATTCGCGTATTTCGTGGACATGATTTTCACGGAATAGAGCGAGAGATGACGAATTAGACATTTGCCACACAATGTTTTCATTGTTATGTCTGCGGGTTTTTTAATACCCATCAAAAGTTTAGGCTCACTTAAGGCACTCACTATATGTTATGTGCAACCAAGTGCAAACCTTATGCAGATGAATTGCATGAGGACGATGCATCATCTTGCTGAAAATCATGTGTAAATATTGTGCACGTGAACAGCCGTGTTTAGGTGTAAAGTTTTGTTAAGAATTCTCCAATTTTCAGTGATTTCTATCATTTATTAAACTCATGACAGTAATCTTTTCAACATTACGAATTTGTTTTACAATACATCAGTTCATGTGTAAACAGTACCTTTAAACATTATGGAGTAATTTGCAAATTTAGTTCAGAACAGTTGACTCAAGTAAGTGGCTACATTTACACTAGTGAGTCTAAACTATTGATGGGTAGTATATAAGCAATATATCCGACACGATTGAAACAGTATTGACTGTGGTCCAATCGTAGGACTTGTATCGATATTGGTTGGAATGTCATGCAGGCCGTGTATTGTAAGCAAATATGTGATTGGCTCAGAGTTGGGGAACGCAGCCTCCAAAGTTTCCCACGCAATTAATAGTACCCCGTGTCAGCCCAACTACAACTGTTTGCATTGAGAGTCAACCTGTCCTGTGCAAGCACTTACACATGCGTCTTTCAGTGCAAGCACTTACCTGGAGCAGGGGTCAAATTGTATTTGACTGAAATTTAAACCAGAGAGTTATCAGTCCCGAGTGTCTGCTGAAACAGATGCCATAGCAACCTGATGCTGTGTGTTCTTATTTACATGAACTGGTATTACAGGGAAGGGGTGAGGTGAAATGAGATTTGAACGCCGCGTTCAAGGTTATTTCCCTTGCGATGTGCATGCATGTGTGTGTATGGGAAATACTTTGACAAGTCCGGACTTTGATTGTGTTTCACTTATTTCTGCGGGTAAATGTGGCCGAAGGTTGAGGGTGGGTCATATATTAAGGTTGGTTGCTCTGAGAAGAGCTTGGGTTTATAAACATTACAAGGTGATTAAGGGGAGGGGGTCATAAAAGCACGAATCTTTTGAGTGAGTGAGAATGGTTTTACGCCGCTTTTAGCAATACTCCGGCAATATCACGGCGGGAGAGACCAGAAATGGGCCTCACATATTGTACCCATGTTGGGAATCGAACCCGGGTCTTCGGCGTGACGAGCGAACGCTTTAACCCGTACACTATCCCTCCGCCAACGAATTTTTTTAACTTTCGAAAGAGAAACAAGGAAATAAACAAAGCACAAATGAACACGCAATCAAACTCGAGGGGCTTCTTTTACTACCTGTAACTATTTCTTAAAAAACAAGTTAGATTTAAGGATAATTAAATATGTATGCAACTTTTAAATTGAATACATATAGCAAATATAGTCAAATGGTGTAAAAACATAATGTTACACCTGAAATATATTAAACATAAACGACATATGATTTCATTAAAATACAAATTCTCAAAATTGAATGTTTCTAAGCATTGGAACGCTGCTGACCTCCAGATCGCCTAGTTTCCAGCTTGTTTACCATTGATACGATAGCAGTAAGTACTATCTTAACCGATACTAATTGTTAACATATACAGTTGATATAGGCCTACTCTGAATTTCAACTCAATCTTATGATTTTTAGACAGGCATATCAGAGTCCCTACAACCCTGTAGCAAGTTGAGGTGGACTGACAGACGTGGCGTTCCGTCATGAAATGTCTGTGTATGTCGGAAACCTGTTTGTATATACAGTCGCCACCCCGTGTATCAAAGTGCATGTCATGCTCCTCCTGAGGACATATCAGCATGTCAAAAAGTACGCTTTGTCGCTTTTGT